TTGAGCCTATTTTATGTTGTTTATATGATATGACGAGATTCCATTTCATTTTAGATTACGTTTTAGCTATTGAATACATAGAATCGTATTATAAAATCGATCAAGAATAGTTTTTAATTTATTGCGTAGATTCAATAAAAGTGTGAGTTGAAACACGCAAGAAATACATCAGATCAGATCTACTGGTTCGAATGTAGAGAACTAATATGAGTGTTAAGTAAATTTAGGAGAATTTAACTTTCCAGTCATTAAAAATTCTGTTCATTTTTTGAAGGTATCTCACGTCAAGCAACTAAACTACCAGAAACAATTAACCTTTTGTTCATTAAAGAAAGCGATCTAATTTAAGACAAAAACTATTCACAAATATTCACTATTTGATATTAACATTAATATATCAAACAAGGCTGCCTGCTTGAATATCTGGGCTAACTGTTCCTGCCATCTGGATGTTTCAACAAGTTATCTGTTTTCTTGTTTGTATTAACACATCATTAGGCTTATTAGTCTCATAACTTATTCAGGTGCGTTTGTGAAACGCTTACAACATTTCTCTATACAAGTCACAAAAGAGCCCAATCAGAGACCTCGTGGTCGCTGGCAATATGTATCGAAAAGAATATACATTAATCAGATGTCGAATCCTGACCTGTGAATATCTAACTGGAAATCACTCAATATTTATCGCAAGGATCAATCAAGAAATAAGAAAAGGAAACTTGTCGAAATACTTTGTGCTGAGAATTCTATATTGTACCAAAAATATAATACTGAATAAAGTCAATAATAATAATACTAATAAATATTCTTACACACTAAATACTTGTGTAGTGAACAAGAACAAGAGCGGGAACAATCCAGTGTATTTAACACAAAATTACAGGACTTGTTAATAAAATATAGCAATCATAAAGTAAATGCTTAATTTGCAAAATGTCCACCAATTGTATCAAAATGACTCAAACTTCATTGTTCTTCCATTTTCATACAAATTTCATCCTGTTTCCATTCTTTAGTGTTCGATCATCTTGTCTCTCTGCTGCCAGACCTTCTGTTCATGACTAACATCATATGCTACTTATGTCAACATAAGTAGCACACACCACACTTGTATTCAATTAAAGGTCTCTAGTAGAAAACCTGTTGTCATTATTGCATGTCGTTCTTTCAATTCACGATTGATTTTGAATCCACTTATAAGTGAATGGATTTAAAATTTTGATTTTGTATTATGTATAGTTACAGTAATAGCTACATATCTCTTAAAGTATAAATTATCCAAGTAAATAGAATAACTGAAGCGTAGTTAGTAGCTCTTGGTATTATCACTAATACATCGATCACTGATATCTTAAAAAAAAAACTAATTCTGATAGGACAGAACTAACAGTAAATTTGATATACAAAATCAACAAATCCTACCATAACAAAACATAAACTTTGGTAAATATCGATAAAGATATATGTAACAAACTTCATAAAATGTCAGATGTTTGCAAACTCTCTTTCAAATAAATTAAAAATAAGAAAATAAAAAAGGGAATACAATTGAATTGATAGTGTTCATGTCAGTAAGATATTGTGATAAATGTCAACATGAAAATCACAATTTAGATTAAAGGGTCATCACCACTTCATTTTTACATCAGGGTGATACATTCGCATTCAACATTACATTTACAGTTTTAATGTATTCTGTAGATTCACACTCAGTATTACAAACAATGTAGCGGTATTTTCAAACAAATTTAATCTCTTCCCTTTATTCATAATATCTATCAAGATTATTCGGTTTGTTTTGTCACATACACACATCCAGATTATTGACCAATTATGAGACAAAAGAACAAAAGGAGAACAGATTACTAACTGTAAAGAATGGAGATGTGATGTGGTGAATTTTTCGAAATACAATGCGTAAAACTAAATTTTGACAAACACAAAACTCTCAAAGTGAAGTATGTTTTGTTTCAAGTACACTTTGACTAATATTCTACAATCATTTTGTTTATATACTTACTGTTAACATGTGAAGTGGTGTAGTTGATGTGATATTTAATGGAACTATCAAAGTGAATGTTTGTATGTTGTTAGAAAAATAATGTATACGTTGTGAAGATGGGGTGGATGATTCCTTAGACCGTAGATTCCGTTAGTCAGATGAATTGGTCGTAAACTCTAGTTGTCGTTCAGGGTGATTTCAGCAGCAGCTTCTCGATAAATTTGTCCAGAAATATCATGAAAGATTACCGAAAAAGTCATATAAGTCAGAGCTCACTAAATCCACACTAGTCAGATGAACATTGGTGAGTTATGAACCGAAAAATAGATTATCATTATACATGAAGCATTCCTACATTTCCACACAGGTAGAGTTCAAACACAATATAGCAAGTCCACATATTATTAAGTATTCAGAATAGTTTCAAACATACTTTCTGCATTAGCAAATCTCACATCACGAACACTATCAATCTAGCATATCTATATTCAGACAAATTTGGTTAAGAAGTGACAATCGTTTAATTGTGAAGCAGTCAGTTAGAGATATTTAAAAGTTCTTGTTGACAAAACACTCTCGATTTACCACTCACCTAAAGGCAGACATCCGTTTTGATGTTTAGATAATATTCTTTTCTACTGGAAGTCACTCAACATCTTACAATTTTCTTCTCAGTATTTTCTGTTGTTCTTCAGAGTGTTGTTAATCATTGTGATATCTGTAATTTAGTGAGTTCGGCTATTATCACGTTTGTATACAGTGAGTATACCAAATGTGTTCTTCCTAATTTGATCATTAGTAACTTCGGCTACTAAAATTGGAGAAATTGAATAAACTTCAATAGAAGCGAATTAGAGAATAATCATTAATTTACAGTCGTTCACATATACACACATATTGACGTCTAATAACTAGTAGCACGACATCATGTTAACTCAACTCATAAAACAAACAACACGGATGCACAATGATTCTCTCCTACACTAATATGTCATACTTAGCAAACTGTCCTAACATCAACTCTAAACCAACTCAATGTTATTTTAGTTATCTCGTTACAATAATTAGTATATTATTAGTAATATTGGGAATGGAGATAATAATCAACCTGTTTCTTTGTTTCATGTTAACATTTCATATTCACTTAGCAATCATCAATGACCTCAGTGTGTTCATCACAGTATGATGTGTTTTCAGGTCATACATACGCAACATCTTCACCATCATTATTTGTGTATTTCTACTGACAATGAAGACTCCCATTTCGTTGTTTTGTTTGTGTGTATAATTAAATAATTAGATGTAGGAAAAAGAGAACGTGACGAAAGTAATAACAACAATGGAAACAATGAGGATAGACTGTTATTGTCTTTGTTATTTTCCAACTGAGAAAGTGAACTATTCAACAGGATGAGTTAGTTCAAATGAAATAATCTTAAAATGACCTGAACATCATAGTGTATTTTCTAATCATTTACAGTTGTCTAAATTGAACATCATGTTTTCTTGTTGCAGTTGGACTGGTGCTTCGTGAACAAATCTCATCAATGAATGACTACAATTAACTTAAAGTGGTCTGTCAGTAAACCAAAAAATCTTTAATTCATAGTTTAACTGGTTCTATGATTTGAATATCATGGCTGCCATTCAAAATAAAGATGATTTAGGTGTTCTTTTTTATATAAAAATTTACCTACGCGATCAAACTGATTATACGTCTTATACGTAACAACACTTTAACTATGTAAAATCCTTACAAGTTGAATTAATGAAGGCCAAAAAGTTAATGTGTGTTTAAGTTACAGGCGAATTCGTTTAAGTAAGAAAATATCAATGTGATTGGTGGACATTTTGCACATTGCCACATTGCATAGATCACATTGTCTTGTTTTGAACATTCATTCTTTCTTTTACTTATTTTTGAACACATAAGGAATCGCTATGTTATTTAAGAGAGAAAGATCAACTTTTTTCTTTGACGTGATACACATAATGACTTATGACTTAATCTCTAGTAAAAAAATGATATTTTTCAGGACATAGTGTGGTGTGTGCTACTTATATTGACATAAGTACTAGATGATGTTAGTCGTGAACAGAATGTCTGGCAGCAGAGAGACAAGAGGATTGAACAGTAGAGAATGGAAACAGCATGCAATTTGTATGAAAATGCAAGAACAATGAAGTTTGAGTCATTTTGATACAACTGGTGGACATTTTGCAAATTAAGCATTTACTTTATGATTGTTAGATTTTATTAACAAGTCCTGTAATTTTGTGTTAAATACACTCGATTGTCCCCACTCGTGTTCTGTTCACTACAATAGCTTTGTAGATAACATTCATGATGTGATCAAGGATCAAATATTCTAATCCATTGACCATTCTCTAATGATACTATTTTTTTATTTAGGTCTTATCTCATTTACTGTTCATGCTCCTAAATATTGATAGCTATTTAGCTTAACATTCTTCAACCAAGCTCTAGCTGACAAGCAAACTATATCCAGAATTTCAATAATACTTATATTACTAAAAACTTCAGTGTCCCAATAGTTTTTCGTTTTTCATTTCTAGTTGATATTTTCATTCACTTTTATTGTATATGTTTTTAGAAATTCATACCAAAAAGGTAAGAAGATAGGAGTCTATTACATTTCATTAAATTTCATGAACTTGACACTATATCATAAATCAATTGTCTTTAGTGATCCATTCAACTTGATATAAAAATATTCTAAATACCGACATCATCAAATATTCTTTAATTATCATATTGAATGAATCTATCTATACAAATTATATGGTTATAATAATTAAGTTTATTACTCAGTGATATTTAGGATAATTTTTCTCTCAACTACAAATAAAATTTCTTTCTTAATTCCTTATTCATCTATGTCCTACGCTACAATATTCGTAGAGTGTGTGACAGACAAACAGTTGAAATATGATTGGATAATCCATAGGATAATTAAAGTGTGCATTAACATAATCTATTCACTGTGTAGAACACATTTTATTCATCAATCGGATTAAATAACAGAAATACAAAATTAAACTCATTGAAACTAATCACTATTTCTAAACTTATTGAATGAATGAATAACCGATGGTTAATTGACGTATCTCATATTTGGGCTAGTACACATATATATTTATATATTGCTTCATTTTATCCTGATGTAGTAAATTAATGATAATGATGAAAGAAAAATGAATATTCTGCTATGGACATAAACTTGTCAACACAATAATAATGATTGTCTATTGTCAAAATCATCATATTACATATATTGAATTGATAAGTATTTTTTGTTTAAATTTACAAACGTAATAATAAAAATAGTAATAATATACTCTTATCTCAAATAGTGTATTGAGAAATATATGCGAATTAACATAGTTTGAATAGTCAACTTACCCATAGACACATAGAGTATTCATAATGAAATATGGATTATTTCAAATTAAGAATAATTATGAATTAACAGTGAAAGTTATATATCAACTACTATATTCATTACTGTAAATATTATTCTTCTATTTGGCTTTATTTTTTCTTCTTTGTATGATCATTATTGATATCAGTAGAACAAAAAGATTATAAGAAAAAAAATGGATTTTTATTGTTATATGTTATATACTACCATTGTCTTTCAATTTCTTACATTAAATCATTCTAACTATGTGAATGGACAATATACTATGGAATATTTTATTACTGAAGAATGTCCACCAAATACATTAGTTGGAAATTTAAATAATATACCATATAATTCAATGAGTCAATCATATTCATTTAGTACTTTTCAACTTTTATCAAATAATGTAAATTTTTATTTGAATGAATCTACTGGATTATTGTATACACGTGGTCGAATCGATCGTGAAACTATTTGTTCTGATAATAATATACACAGTAGTAATACAATGAATAATCTTCTTCCACATTCAACAAATGACTTTAGAATTAAAGAAGTTGATCAACTTGTAATAAACGAACCGAATTCTCTAAATACAGGATATATTACTAAATCAAGTTGTGAAATATTACTACAAGCCTTACAATTCATTCATGATTCTCATTCACGTGAAAATAATGAACAACAGCATAGAGTGATATTAATAAAAATATATATTTTTGATATAAATGATAATACACCATCATGGCAAGAGAATATTATACAAATCAGTGTACCAGAACATACTTCAATCGGTACTAGAATACCCTTACCAACAGCTAATGATCCAGATTGTGGACCTATTAATACAACTGTAAATTATTCACTACTTGATGAGAATGTAAAATTTCAGTCTTCCGTTATAAATTCAGAAAAAACATCTTCAATGCAAAATGTTTTCCATTTAGATGCAGAGCTTATATCAAATCCAGATATGAATTTAAACACTGTGTGGAATTATCAAGCAATTACTTGTAAACCACGGATTTTTCGTTTATGGCTTCGTATTACACAAGATTTAGATTGTGATGATGATAATACCGATGAAACTGATACTTTGACTTCATCAAAACTATATCACCCTGAAAGTGTGAAAGTAAAACAAGCAAAGTTGACTTTAATTGCAGTGGATGGTGGTCAACCGGTTAGTTTGACAGGCACTGTAACAATAAATATAACAGTTACAGATATTAATGATCATGCTCCCGAGTTTATCGACTCTGGTCGATATCACTCTAAAACTACAAGCGAATCATCTTTAGTTCACTTATCACCTGTTTACTCAGAAAATGGAGAATTATATATACAGCTTCCTGAAAATACTCCAGCTGGACGAGTTATATATAAAGCACAAGCGGTTGATCGTGATGAATCAGATAAGAAAAAGCTTAAATACACACTAGGAACATCAGCCGGTCTAGATGTTAGGGACACATTTAGAATAGACCCGAAATCAGGTGAAGTAATTCTTTTACGTTCGCCGGATTATGAGCAACACAGAATACACATTTTACCGATCACAGTAACTGATGGTAAACACTTGATAACGCAAAAGTTGACTGTACGAATTCAAAACATAAATGATCACCCTCCTATGATTTCAGTTCGTCCAGTTATTAAACAGAAATCGAGTAATTTTTCTTCAAGTTCATCGATACGTCCCGGAGTTCGAAACTTTATTAATGGTCGAACAATTCTACTATATGTAACTGAACATGAACCACCAGGCCAGTTAATAGGAACTGTAACAGTAACTGATTCTGATGAAATTGCTGACCCGATTCTTGCTAAATCAGACAATTTGATTGAGAATAATGCCCCAACTATGAATTATCAATATCAAACAATTGATTCAGATACACATCTAAGCATTAATTGTCAGTTAAATCATAATGGGTTAGTGTTGGAACCTTTGTTCAAAGGTGCTAAAAATCAATTTAAACTTCTTACTTATGCTAGTTTCGACAGAGAACAACAAACAGATCAGTTTGCTACACTAACATGCTATGATTATGGCCAACCACCATTATCTTCACAAGTTGGTTTACATCTTATTATTGAAGATATCAATGATCATGGTCCTCAGTTTAAACAAAGTAAAATGATTGCTCATATAAAAGAAAATAGTCCATCTGGAACAAAAATTTACAAAATTGATGCACATGATCCAGACATTGGTCCAAATGCTTTATTAGGTTATCGTTTAGATGGACAACACATGGATAATTTTATGATTGATGAAAAAACGGGTACAGTAACTAGTTTACGACCATTTGACAGAGAACAGATAGATCATTTTAATCTATCTGTAATTGTTTATGATCAGTCTGAATGGGTTACACTAAATAATTATAATAATGATAATATTACATCTCTAACAGATATAACTATAAAAACAAATACAATTGAACTGTTTAATCGTAAAGCACCAAAACAGCATATTGTACATGGAACTCTTCATGTTTTCATTGACGATGTAAATGACTGTGTACCAACATTTGATAATTCATTATATCAATTAACTGTATCCGAAGATGCTAAAATTAATCATTTAATTGGACAAATTGAAGCAAATGACAGTGATGCAACCGAAATTAATAATCAAGTAAGTAATTTAATCTTTCATAATAATGATGATAATAATAATAATAATAATAAGCGCCTACTTAAATTCTTGTCAAGACAAAGTCGAATATCATTTCAGGGTAAAGTAGTTTATTAATATCTAGAGAAGATTACGTAATGCTATTATTTACAACAGCAAAATGTCATGTATTTGTTTTATTCATTCACTCACATAAAACATACCAACTAGTAATTTAAAACTCTGGATCTATGTGACCAATAAGAGAAGAGAAGTTATGACATCAGTTGATAATATAAAATGTTGAATATCCTTTGTGACTAGGATAGTATACTGTAAGAATGTTTTACTAAGAAAACTTTATTATTCTAACTATTGAATGATGCATTACTCCATTATAACATTGATAAGTTGGGAATTACTTTACTTAGGTAATCTATTGTTTTATATTCAAGAAGTTTATTCTATAGAAATTGTGTGCTGAAATTATTTTGTAACAGTCTAATTATATCAACTAGTTACTATGTTATTATTGGTAAAGCTGTACTATACTTCCAAACCAATGATGACCATGTAACCGTAATCAGTAGTTATGTTATGTTTAAAAGAAATGAAACTATTTGAATTATTATTTGACTCAAAAAGTATAAAACAAATCGAAAATGTTTCTTATTTTATTCCATAAGAATTGGTTTCATGGAATTGTTTCATACTGTTTAACAAATATGTATTGATATTTTGTATACTTTTAGCTAATTATTCTATGGTATATACTGTAGGGAAGAAAGTGAACTGATAATTTTAATTTTCCATTAGTCAACATTCTAAGTTAGAACCTCCAAATTTTCTATAGTTTTGAAAAACACAATATTCACCTTGATCTTGTTGTAAGAGGATCATTGAACAGGTTTATAACTGATATTCATGCTTATAGAACTGATTAATCAAAAAAATATCCTCAACATCAATCAATGTATAGTTTCTTTGAATATGTAATCTGAGCGTGCTAACGAAATATTTGGCGGGAAAACATTTCAGTTTTTAATAAGGAGACCGGTTTCCCAAAACATTAAGTCTAACTATTCATTCCTACTTGTCTGAACTACTCAAAAATATAAACCAAAATAAACAGAACCCTCAGTTCAATGAATTACTAAATAATATGTCTAAAGAATAAGAGCTCAATCAAAGTTATTGATGAACATACGAGAGCATAACATCACTGTATACAGAAATTAGTTGACTGTGGAAGTGAGTAACAAAGTGTTAATCATTTTTCTGTGGCTCTCAGTGTAGTAGGTATTAATAGTTAGAAACTATATACTAAATGATTAATTATAAAAGTGTAAATAACTTTAGTTGTTATCTTTTAACTAATAAAATTTTAGGTAATTCTTGTTCATTTTTACTTTGAGACATTCGTACTACATCACTGATTCAATACCCCTCCATTTTCGTCAATCTCCTAATGCCGCAATTTAGCAAAATAAATAAATACGAGGGGTTTGTGCAGACCAAATAATTTCTATAGTTTAAATCACGAACTAATCCTAGCTAAACCACCCTTCAAAACCTGGGAGCACTGGATGGCCGTTTCGTTTTTATATGTGACTCCTCAAGAGTGTGTTCGCGACGCCACAGGCTGACTTTGAACACCCTAAATTCTAATGAAAAGCCATGACCATCGAAGTTTAATCAGTGTCGGATGTGAGACAGTTATCCACCTGACGCAATGAGTGAGGGTTGCACATTACCGCGCCACTGGATGTCTTTCCAGTTATCTGAAGGCTAAGGGTTCGCGGTCGAGTCCGGATGTCCTGATTTCAGTTCCTTTGGCGGGGTCATTCTATATCATAAATTCTGTTTGGCCTTTTATAAAACAGGTTAATTGTAGTAAGTTATGAAATCTAGAACTAGCGTTTCGTCCACTTTGGAAGTCATTAACATAACTTACTTGTATCCGAATGAAGTTTTTCACATTGAAATGCGAACACAGAACTTCTCGCTTAAAATTAACCATCATCTAGACTATTGAGTTCAGACATTCTCTAGACTTTTCAATGGGTATGTTGTTTATAGTGTTATCTCATTATTAGTAAATGACACTGATTGTAGATTGTATTTGTGCATCCTACTTAGAGTTCTTCGGTATATGGATAACTTAGTCCTTCTGTTTTTAAAGCAAACAATAATAATTTTAGTTTCATATTTATTATGTAGGATAAAAAAAGAAACGCTGTTATCTGTTGTATTTCTAATCATTTTTGTCCAGTCATCATACAACACCTTTAAAAAGATAAATTAACAAATATAAGAACGATCCTCTGCATCATAAAATAAAGCATAAATAAATGAATTATGTGCAAGAAATTCTTCCACCTAAAATTTAATTTGCACACATTCGTTTCTCTAAACCAGTTGATAATATGCATATCAACAGGTGTTTTCTGAGATTCCTGTATGCTCAGTGAATATCAATAAAACTTTACAAAGTATTATGACTGGTCGTCATTTGTTATAAATGCGTCACCAATTGCTACGTCTGGTCGTCGCTACTTGTTATGTCGGAATCGCTTATTACTTATACTTGTAAGACGAGGAACCACTGCAATTCCTACGACGTAAAGGTAAAAACACAAAGACTGTTACAATTGAGAGTTTATTAATCCCCAAAACACGACGAAAACCCTATTGAAAAATGCACTCACAACATATATATTGATTAGTACACCCATTTCGATTATTAAGTAGGATGAAATCGCATGCATGAAAAATACCCAGAGTTATAGCAAACCATGCATTGTGTGTCATGCTGAGCATGGTTTATGTTAATTTGACACGAAATATCGTGCCTTTAACAAACAACACACTCAAATAAACTAATGGTATACCAAATAAAACACCACAATGGGAAACAAAACAAATGCTACACTGAGTAATTATCGTAATGAATGAAAACGAAAGTGATGTTGGACAGAAATCATAATGAGTAAAAGAATGTAATTTTACTTTTTAATCTCATCATATCACAAAGTTTAGATTTTTCTTTCCAGTCATTAAGTATCAAACAATACAGAACAAGCTATATTTCCATTGAGCAAGTCAACTGAAGTTATTTCTATAACTAAATTGTTACTGTTTACTTATCAGCTCATCTAAAACACTACGGTTTATTTGTTATATTGTCTTTTTATTAGTGAATGTTTCAATTATTCACTTTCTATCCTCCTTTTATTCTTCAACCTCTATTTATGTATTTTAATAATTTCATTCTAATCCGAGTACTGAATTGGAAATAGGAAAAAAATGTTGGCAACTAAAAAATGAACAGCTTTTTATTCAGTAAATATTTAATTTACTTCACGTTTATACTTATGGTTAAAGTATAGTTAATCTATCAACTAAGTTATTTGATACTATATATATCAAAATTATTTTGTTTTAATCTCCAACCCATGAATGTTTATTGTCACATGTGTAGAAAACTGAATGTTCAATATATGTACAGAAAAACCATTTACAAATGTCAAATAGTTACTGACATAATTGAATACGTATGAGAATACAAGTTCGATAGTAGTGTTCTGTCGATAGAAACTAAATAGTAAAATATAGTCATTATTCCCTTTTAGTTAAAAAAAAATCAATTATCAACTTCATTCAATTAAAGTGTGTAAAGAATAACTACATTATGTTTATTCTATGATTTTCCCTTAGTTACTCACAATTTATGTGAATTCATTAAATTCTCGATAATTGTTAAATAATCCATCTTATAAATTTTCTAATTTTAAACCATTAATTCTTCAGGCTTATATGTTTCAGACATTCATTCTTTAGTGAATTTACTCGTGCTTACTCATAATTCAGCTAATTGTCTTCATTCCATTTTTTTCATTCATCAATATCCACTATTTCAATATACTTGATTATAAACAGCAGACGAGAATCCTTGAAGTAAAACAAATTAACACTATTCTACCTAGTGTTTTGGCCTTATTTAAATTCATCAAGTGACCTAATTGTGTGAAATTATGTTGTTGATTATCAGATGCAATCAGTTACGATAATTATTATATAAGTAATCTATCCCAGATGGTGTGACATCACTAGTATGGATTTGCTTGGTAGAAATTTACACCTTATATTACCTATCTTCATATTCGATAATGTCCAGTTCATTATGTACAGTCATAAAGTGACCGGTTCAATTTATGTGTATGTTTATTTACAGTTTTTATTTCAATCTGTGAATTTACTAAAGAATACTGAAAATACTACTAATTCATTTTGAGTTAAACCCCTCAAATTTTGATCAATAATACTCAATATTAAATGTTATACGAGATGATGTACAATTTCTATCATTAACATCTGGGTATTTTTCTGAGCTTAAAATAGAATCACTTATAATTTTTTCTTCACAGTTGTACAGGAAATGAGAAATCGGTAGAATATCATTTACTTTTCATAGTTCTACACTATGATAATATTATAAATTACATTCATACATTATGTTATTGTATATTTTCATAGTATAGATCAATTGTTAGCTCACTGAATAACTTTCTCTTCAACTGATGAATATATATTAGAGAATCATAGGAATTTTAATTGAGCTAATATGATCTTTAAAATTAAATGTAGTATAGAGTACAGAAGCCAAAAAACTACTGAGTTTTACATGAATGTGTAACTTAATATCCTTTAAAATACTTGATATGAATCAACATATGGTCATTAGTGACTGGCTTTAAGAGGTATTTCTTTGAGTTCTAGTGAGAAGCCATGACCAGTGCAGTTCATCCGGTTCAGTTGTGAGATAGTAACTCACAGAAGGCAATGGTGGACGTATGACTCAATTTCCTGGATTAGTTGAAGTTAGACATTAACACTGTTGGATGACAGCCGACTCAGTGGTCTAGTGGTTATGCGCTCGCACGCGAGACTGGTAGGACCTGGGTTCGAATTTCGAGAGGTGGGATCGTGGATGCGCACCGCTGAGGAATCCCGTGGTGGGA